GGGACGGGGTGCAAGGGTTTATCGGGGGGGGGGGGTAGGAACCATCAATTTTTCAAACAGAGCACCGTAGGGACCCCAAATGGGGCCCATGTCATAGGATGACATGGGGGTTAATGTCATTGGACATGAATGAGTGACCAGTACTTATTTGACATTTTACACCCATTTCTTAAAAATGAGATTTCTTAATAAGTAGGCAACCAAATCTGGTTAGAGAGAGTAGTTTTTAAGTATATAAGTTTTATTATTTAATTTTAGAATAGTTTTCAAATAAATTAGATTGATCATAATTTTAGTCAAACATTGTAAATCAAAATGTGTCGAGATAAAAATAAAAAAACTGGGGGAGTATAAAAGTTTTTTCTTTCTGATATTGCCAGGTATCAGGAAATACTTACAGACCCTAGCTATGCTGGCCAATTTGTCTTGATGACCAATCCCCACATTGGAAATACCGGTGTCAATTTTGGTCTGTATTGTGTTCTCACATTTAAATTTCTTGTTTAGAATTCAAGAATTTAACCTTTATAAATCAGAGTTCATTTCTGAACAGATGATGAAGAATCCAGAGAGTGCTTTCTGGCTGGTTTAGTAATTAGAAGTTTGAGTTTAAGGTGTGATATGATCTACTTTTCATAAACTTAACATTTAGGCCCTGTTCTTTTGGGTTGGAAGTTGGAATTCCATAGTTGGATGTTGGAAGAAACTTGAAAGAGTTGGAAAAAGTTGGAAGAATTTAAGTGTTAAAAAGTCACTCAATTAAATGATCATCCAATTTTTGATAAAAAAGAATTCATCATTATCCGTGTTTGAGGTGATATGTTATATATCTGGATATATAATGCTATTTTATGCTACTTATATATTAGTACCTTTTTAAGTCGTTGGAAGAAATTGGAAATAGTTGGAAGAAACTGGAAGGAGTTGAAAGAAGTTGGAAGTTAATTTTTCCAACCCAAAAGAACAAGGGCTTACTTGTGTAAGTGGATACCATTGTTGTTGCATTCAAACCCTTGCTACTGAATTTTGTCAGTACATCTAATTGGAGATGCACAGAAACACTCAACGACTACTTGGCTGCTAGGAATATAATGGGAATTTGTAAGTCAACTTTACTATTCATGCTCACATTCATAGAGACATAATAACTTATCATTCACAAAGTGAATATTTGAAATAAAAAACAACCTGAATCAGATGATGTTGACACTCGTGCAATCACAAGGAGGCTGAGGGAAGATGGAAGCCTTATTGGTGTGCTGACCACAGAGGACCACAAAACTGATACAGAACTTCTAGAAATGTCCCGCACATGGGACATTGTTGGTAGGTGTTTCCCGTTGATTGTGCATGATTAGATGTTACATTTGAACAACGGATTTAAGATCTGTACTGTTCAATCTAATGTAATGCATTGCAATCGAAGAAGAAGAGGATTTTGGGGGGGGGGGCTCAAGTGGTTGGAGCACCAACTTATCTCCTTCCTCACCCAAAATCAATGCACCCC